GCACTCTTTTTTTTTTTTTTTTTTTGAGTTGGAGTCCCACTCTTGTCGCCCAGACTGGAGTGCAGTGTCACACTCATGGCCGCCGCGGCCTTGAACTGCTGGGCTTAGGCAATCCTTCCACCTCAGCCTTCCAAGTAGCTGCAACTACAGATGCATGCCATCATGCCTGGCTAGTTTTTGTGATTTTATTGTAGAGATGAGGTCCCATCAAGTTGCCAGGCTGGTCTCGAACGCCCAGGCTCAGGCAATCCTCTCGCCTTGGCCTCCCCCAAAGTGCTAGGATTACAGACTGAGCCACTGTGCCTGGCCCATCTGAGCATTCTTAGCATTTTGATGTATTTTGATTTGTGGCAGGCAGGCTTGTAACATTTTCCACATGGGATTGTATAGTTGTTTTACTTTTTTAGGTCAGGGATTATTTTCCTGTGTTTATCTTGAAGGAATCATGATGATGGTAAATTTAGTGAGCATGTTTTTCTCTTCAATAAATGCAAATAGTCATGGCATTTATGCTTAACTGTGTACTTATTAAGAATCATGGGATTAGGGATTGTTTGATATCATGAAGGCCATTGTACTTTATTGTTGGTTATGATACAGCATTTTCCCCAAAGCTATATATGTAACTGATAAGATTTGTAGTAAATTACACGTGTGACTTTTATAAGCATAGCATATGTTCTTTGATTTTAATGTGAGTTTTGGTTTAAATTTTTTATTGTGAAAGACTTCAATGAGCCTCCTTATACCAATTATTTGGCTTAACAATTTTGATTCATGGTCCTTATGGTTCCCCTATAATCCACCTGTTTCTCTGCCTCTCCCCCTCCCCACCCTCCATTATCACTGGATTTTTTTTTCTTAAGGCAAATCCCTGGTCATCATTTTACTCACAAATATTTCAGTATGTATATATCAAAGAGAAGTGCTGTTTTGATATTTTTGTAGAGATTAGATCTCATTATGTTGCCTAGGCTGGTCTGAAACTCTTGGGCTTGAGCAATCCTCCCACCTCAGCCTCTAAAAGTACTGGGATTATAGGTATGAGCCACTGCACCTGGCCTGTTTTTTAAAAAAATGGAACCATAGAGTTGTTAACACAATTTTAAATTCAAAATATCGAAAATAATTTCCGAATAGCATCAAATCAACAGTTTATATTTCCCTAATCATCTCATTATTTTCTACAATTTGTTTGAATTGGGTTTCAGATAAGGCCTATACATTGTATTTAGTTGACGTGTCTTTTATTTTTTTATTTTTTTTGAGTTGGAGTCTCACTCTGTTATGCCGGCTGGAGTACAGTGGCACACTCATGGCCACCCCAGCATTGACCTGCTGGGCTCTGATGATCCTTCTGCCTCAACCTTCCAGGTAGTCGGAACTACAGGCACATGCTACCACACCTGACTAATTTTTGATTTATTGTAGAGGTGAGGTCTTGCCACGTTGCCTGGACTGGTCTCGAACGTGTGGTGATGTGTCTTTTAAATCTCTTTGAATCCATATTCCCCTGCCCCATTTTTTCCTTACAGATTGTTGAAACAGAATTATTTGTCTTAGGCATACTCTCCCTGCTCCTTCTTCTTCTCCCTAAGAATTTGTCTTAGGAAGTGTTGCATACCTCTATTAATAAGCATATATTGTCTGATTTTTTTCTCTATTTCTTTCTCTCTCTCTTTTCTTTTGAGTTAGGATCTCTGTTGCCCAGGCTGGAGTGTAGTGGCACAATCACAGCTCTCTACAGCCTTAACCTCCTGGGCTCAGGCAATCCTTGCTCAGGCCTCTGGAATACCTAGATCTACAGGCATGTGCCACCATGCCCGGCCAATTTTTTAAAAAATTTTTTTGTAGAGACAAAGTCTTGCTATGTTGCCCAGGTTGGTTGATTTTTCTGTTTGTTATAGTAGTAGCCATTGATAATCATTGTCTACATAGATTAAGTCACTAGAAATGGCAAGGGTATTTTAAAGATAAATTTATAATATACATGTATGGAATAAATAATTGTTGGTTCACTTTGCTCTTTTTATGAAGGTTTGCTCTACTAATTAAATACAAAGTATCAAATTGGATGTATAACCCATGGAATTTCCATTATTTTTTAGGAAGAGTGTCTTCCAAAGTGTTCTTCACTCTTTTTGCCCTGCTTGGTTTCTTCATTTGTTTCTTTGGACACAGATTCTGGAAAACAGGTATTATGTCCAATGTCGCTGCTATTGACATGTCTTGTGTGGTCTTTTCTCTTAAATGCTCCTGGGGAACTTATGATCTGTAAGGAGAGTAAGCACTTATTTCTACTCTCTTCACAGATTTGTGGCTGGATTCTTTTGGTAATGATGCTACTGAGTTGTTCTGCATTTTTTTCCTCTTCCCTTAATAGCAGAGTGCAACCTCCTCTTATTAAGAGAAAATTAAATTTGGTTTATGCAATGAACTTTTTCATTTGCTAGATCCGCTAGTTGACTAAAAAGAACTGAGGTTGGAAATCAGGGTATGTGTGTAAAAATATGTGTGGATTTTGGTGATGGTGATTGACTTGGTTTTGTATGAATCAGTATACAGTGAGTATACAGTGAGATTGAAATGTCTATTCAGACCTGGGAGATTCAGGTCCAAGAGGAACGCTGGAGTCTACATCAGTGAAACACAGCAAGGGAGTGGGGATAATTATACTCACTGAATTGACTCAAATTCTTTGGCCTGCTTTTTATATAACTGATGTTTTAAATTACTAAAAAAATATATATATTTAATCAACAAGGCATATATAACTGAGCATCAAGAATAAGCAAACACAATCCTGATCTAATAGAACTCTTTAAACTTATGGTAATAAATTGTCTAAAATAGCAATTTCCTCCATTATGACACTTTTTTCCTTGATTAATTGGGAAGAGAATATTGTGAAAAATATTTCATATCTCAAAGTATAAAATGATTCCATAACAAAAAAATTCATTGCTAAGCTGTAGGTAGAGTCCCAAAAATATTACCAGTTGTTTAATTTACAGTTTTTTTAAAAAAAAGAGACAGGGGTCTCACTACATTGCCCATGCAATTATAGTGCACTACAGCCTTGAACTCTTGGCCTCAAGTGATTCTTCTACCTCAAACCTCCTGAGTCGCTGGGACTACAGGTACACATCATCGTGCCCAGCTTTTTTTTGTTGATATATATCATTTTATATATACTAATAAAATATACTATAATATATAATGTGTACTAATAAAATACCAATATTTTATTTTATTTTATTGTTTTTTTATTCTTTGAGTTGGGGTCACCCAGGCTGGAGTGCAGTGGCATGATCACGACGATCACAGGTCATGGCGGCCTCAATCTCCTGGGCCTAGGTAATCCTTCTGCCTCAGCATCCCGAGTAGCTGCAACTATAGGCACACACACAACACCATGCCTGGCTAATTTTGTGATTTTTTTTTTTGTAGAGATGAGGTCTTGCTATGTTGCTGAGGCTGGTTTCAAATTCCTGGGCTCAGGTAATCCGCCCACATTGACCTCAGAAAGTGCTGGGATTATAGGCGTGAACCACTGCACCTGGCCCTCTCTGCCTTTTAGATAAATTATTTGTCTTTTTCAAATGCTTTAATGTGTAAATTCTAGGAGTTTACACATGTGTTTGTAGATTAGATATTTAAATTGCATTGTAAAAAGAGTTCCTAACCATAGCTTATTATGTTTTGTTCTGCTTTCTTCCTTTCCTGGTGGTTTGCTGTTTAGAGTTATTTTTCATAGGCTTTATCTTCGTGGGATTCTTCTTTTACATACTGATTTCAAGACTGACACCTATTAAATATGATGGTAAGTGAACATTATATAGTTTAATTGGGCATTCAGAAAGGAAGACGTCATTTTCCATGCCACCTGCAGTTTGACTTGTATTTTGTGTGATATCTTATTAAGTGTTTAAAATAATGGGCCACCTCTGCTCTAAACACCTTTTCTAAACTACTCATTCAGACCTCTTTTCTGGGTTTTTAATTTGCATAGTGAATTCTTAGGGAAATGAAGGGTTATACTGATTATGAAGTTGTGTTCCTGCTACATGATATATTGAAGATAATGAGATGTACTACAATTCAAATGTTAAAATTTTCTTTGCCTTTAAACAACCCCCACCTCATTACATGTAACGGAGTGCTTGTCACCTTTTCTTCCTCAGTCCCAGTTTAACGACAGCCAAGCCCATTCCCAGTCCTGTGAGTTTTAGCTCCCTGGCTACTTATCAGGTCGCAGCAGGGTCCTCCCCAGAGAGGACTGCTCCGTGCTGGCTTCATGGCACCACTGAGGAGCCCTCGGTGCCTGGCCTACAGGGAAGCTGAGACTGGTGTTGGTGATAGTATTGTGTGTCTAAAGCATCCAGCTAGAAGGCCTTTCGGTGATCAGTTCATCTTCTCTCTTTGTACAGTGCGTCTGATTTTGACCACCGTGGCTGGAAGTGTTGGTGGAATTTTCTTGTTAGCTACGTGGTGGCGATTTGGAATCCTGTCACTCTGCATGCTGTGTGTTGGGCTAGTGCTGGGGTTCCTCATCTCGTCAGTGACTTTCTTCACTCCACTAGGTAGGAGATATGTAACTGATGTTTTGTATGTTGCATTCTCTGTTTGAATACTGCTTGGTTGAGTCTGTATCCTGGAGTGGTGTTGCCTGTCCCTGCTTCTCCTGTGGTACTTTTAGATGGCACCAGTACAAATAACAATCTCTCCTCCCTCAGAGGCATACTGCACTAGGTGAAGTGTAGACTGTCTTTAGAGGTAGCTTTGTATCTGTTTGTTGTGATAAGGGTGTGTGTGTGTTAGAATTAATGGAAATAGAGGGGACCCTTCATATATGGCAGAACAGGGGTTACTCGTCCTGAAACCCTGAAACTGTTTCTTAAAGTGACTCTGAAGCAGAAGACCAATACATCTCGTAGCTAAATTTGGCACTGCTCTGATATGGTAGCTGAGTTGGGGAACCTGGTGCTTTGTTTTCTGTCTTCCCTTGTACACTCAACCTCCATTACCCTCTGTGCCAAACCCCAAGTGTTCCTGAGGGAACTACTTGTAATTACCTGCAGGCAGTAGCAAAGGATGGTTCTGAGAGTGTTTTTGTTTTGTTTTGTTTTGTTTTTAAAGAAATTCAACAGTTATCTGTTTTTAAAATCTGCTTAACTAGTAAGTTAACTTTCTTTGCCATTATATAATAACTTACATTTCCTTATTGTTGTCAAAAAGCAAAAACAAGTCGAAACAAAAATGATCTACTTTACAAGGGCCGTTTCCTTTTTGTGATAATGCTTAGTTCTTACATTACAATATTGTATTAAAGTTGATGAAAATGTTAGATATAAGAGCAACTGTCTCATGAGGCTGTCAGCTCTTGAGAACGCAGGATACAATACAGTGCAATTCATGTGTCCCTTGGCTGTCAAAATATTTGTTTATTTTTAAGAGATGGGGTCTTGTTATGTTGCTAGTATTGAACTCCTGGGCTCTTCCCGTCTTAGCCTCCCAAAGTGCTGGGATTACAGGTGTGAGCCACCATGCCCTGCCAAAATATATATTTTTTAAACACCAGAGAGAATTGACAACCTGTGTGTCAAGGAGGCCCTTTGTTCTGACTTTAGCCAACCTGTAGCCAAGCATATTCCTTGTGGGCCCCCTGCAGGTAGTCTTTTATCTAGACACTCTGATGAAAAGTAATGTTTAGGCTTGGCTTAATAACAGATTCACATGAGGAGTGATGATTGGAAATACGGATTTGAGGCTCTATCCTAGATATGCTCAATCAAGTAAAACCTAATGGGCTTCCTCCCCTTTTTGTTAATACTTAGAGGATAGAGGGGTGATAGGCTAGAATTTCTAGTGGTTAATGTGCTTTTGATGAGTAAAATAAGCATAAATTATGAAGTCATAAGAAAACCTATCTATGCCTTCTGGCTCTGTCACTAGTGCCCTGACTAGCTTATAACCTTGGACAAGGTACTGATGTTTTTCATTATCTTTAAAACCATCTCATAGAATAGAAGTGAGGAGTGAGATCATATAAATAAAGAGAAAGTCTCTTAATTTTCATCTTTATAAAAGTAGCCTACAGTCTTAACTTTTTGACAACCTACTCCTAGTGGTAAAAATAATTACCTACTCCTAGTGGTAAAAATAATTTCTTTATATTTGTTATTTATGAACTACCTTATAGCTCAAGGATAGTTAGGATAACCTATGCAAACCTATATTTTTAAACATTAAAATTAGAAAAATATTTGGCAGATCTCTCTGATCTGATTAAATCACTGCCATTTTCACCTTATGTCGGGAGCGAAGAGTTTATACTCTGAAAGGATCTGTTTTCCACACGCAAACATCATAACTACTATTTTCAATCTCTAGATCTCTTGAAAAACTTCTTTTAAAAGCCACCTATATGTTTTGTGAAGGTCAGTATTGCCAAACTGGAGAATGTGATGCACATTTTCACCTCACTACAGCATGTTGCTATTGGCTTTCAGAAAATGAGGGGTCCTAAAGACAAGACCTCTTTCCTGGGGACTCCCACTCAGACTAGGATATGTGTAGGTCTTGAGGCATGGGGCCATTTACAGATGGACTGAATGATGGTGCCAGAGTCAGTATTAAACAATAGCCAGGCTGATATTCTGGCTTTTTAAACTTAACGTATAAAGGAGTTACTCATCCTGGGTCACCCTAAGGTGTGCTGAATTTTGGAGTCCAGCAGCAGGAGAAGGGCTTGGGAGGAGCAGGTAAGTGACTAGTTTCTGTCTTTCTCGGTGCATGAAGAAATAATATCTTACAGTGTGCAGTGGCTGTGTAGGACATGATTTGATGGTAAAAAATCTGTTAAGCGGATTTGCTGCTTATATTGGGCTTAGAGCTTAACTCTGAATGCCTTGCACTTTTTATTTTGCAGTTCAAAATCATGAACTCATAGAAATTTAGAGGTAGGAGTGATTTTTGAGCTTGGGGGTTATAATTCAATTTTCTCATTTTATGGGCTAGAAAACCAAGGCCTAGCGTCACAGAGGTAGTGAATGGGGGAATTTGGACTGTCCTGTAGCCGCTTCTGAACTATCCTGTTAATGGGGTTGGGGTACAGTGGCTCGTGGCTGTAATCCTAGCAACTTGGGAGACAGAGATGGGAGGATTGCTTGAGGCCAGGAGTTAGCGGTTATAGTGAACTACGATTGCACCATTGCACTCCAGCCTGGGTGACAGAGCAAGACCTTGTCTCAAAACAACAACAACAATAACAACAACAACAACAACAACAACAACAAACCCTGTTAATAAGTGCAGAAGCATTTACATGCTTGATTTTCCTCACCACTCTCTCTCTCTCCCAGAACACACCCTTCAAAAGAGATTGTTAAATGAAAAAAAAAAATAGAATTGGTTTCTAGTTGCCCACGTTTTCCTGGTTGTTGCTTTAAACCTTTGATGTAGGCAGCAGACAGCAGACACTCTGGCTGCTGTTCTGCCCATGGTGCCCTTAACAGTGTATCTTCCCTTTAAGAAATCTACCTTTCTTAATTCAAAAACAAAACAAAACAAAAAAACCTTTGATGTATATCTGTGCTCACATGTTGAGGAAATGAAATTTCACTTGGTGAGCCTGTTGTTTACTCTTGGTTTTTCTATGCATTTTCAGGAAATCTAAAGATTTTTCATGATGACGGTGTATTCTGGGTGACTTTCTCTTGCATAGCTGTCCTCATTCCAGTAATTTTCATGGGCTGCCTGAGAATAGTAAGTGTTTCATCAGAAGTTAGATTTACTCATTCTATTGTCCTGTGCCTTCAGCCGATCACTTATTGCACCGTTTTGCTTGTTTGATTCACTGGGGAGGGCTGTATGATTATCTGTATCAAATAACTGCTTCTAAATAGCCTTGTTACTATGAAAGCAAAGGAAGTTCTATTTTTGATGGTCATACAAATGCTGCTCTTTTCATCAAATGAAGCATCCCTGTCGATATGCTTTTCACAGTGCATATTCTAGTGCACCAGCCTGATGGGTCGTTAGTTTCAGCCATCTCTCCAGAAGAGCAGTTCTTCATCTAATTAGATTTTATTGTTAAAGTTCTTTTGCTGGTAGGATAATTTTTCCATAGTATTAGGCTAAGTTAAACTGTATTTTAAGAACTTCCTATGGATGCTAAAGGTTGCTTTCAGTTCATCTTCCCTGGTAACTTTTATTTAGCTCTAAGATTTGGTCTGGTCCCTTTTTACGTGCCCTGAGGGGCCAGGAGTGATTCCTTGTGATTCAGGAATGTGTGTGATGAGAGTTAGAAATGGTCTTGTTCTGCCAGGGATGATGCCTAAACACTTCTACTCTTCCACAGCTGAACATACTGACTTGTGGAGTCATTGGCTCTTATTCGGTGGTTTTGGCCATTGACAGTTACCTGTACACAAGCCTTTCTTACATCACTTTGAATATACTCAGGAGAGCCCTCAACAAGGATTTCCACCGAGCTTTCACAAATGTGCCTTTTCGAACTAATGGTAAGATTTTCCAAAAACCAGAGTGTTAGTGCAATAGAAGCCTTGACCCTCCTGTGCTACTGAGAACCCTCGGTAGCTAGATTGAGAGAAAGTCAGCTGGGACAAAAGGAGGAACACGCTGCACAGTGCCACAAGAGCCCTCTGCTCATGATAACTCAGGATCATGGGAGCAAAGAGTTTACATTTTTCAGGCGGTTGAAAGTCTTACTTGTAAAAATCTACTAACTGAATTTTGTTAAACAATGTCTAAGCCAGGATTACTTACTTAGGTTTACCTGGTTGGTTCTCAGTTAGGAGAAAACTGCTAACATTAAAGATGTTTGGCACCTTATGGGTGGGGGTGGAATGAGGGATGAGAACGACAACCTGATTTCGTTTTTAAGTTATTCCCTCGGTCCCCTCCTTTAGTGAAGCATGTAATTTGCTAGTTGAAAGTGAAAGCAGTTTTCAGTTAGTACGTATATTGTTTCCTCAATTGTAAGATTCTATCCATTACAGATTTTCCATGAACTTTTTGAAGAAAAAAATGAGTATCATGTTAAATGTTTGCTAAGATTGTAAGATATGTTAATTTCAGAACTGTTAAAGTATGGAGGGTAGGCTGATCACGGTGGCTTATACCTGTAATCCCAGCACTTTTGGAGGTTGAGACAGGAGGATTGCTTGAGGACAGGAGCTCCAGACTAGCCTGGGCAACATAGCAGACCCTGTCTCTAAAAAAATAAACACACACACACTCTGCTACAAAAAAAGTATACACATTTTAAGAAAGAAAAAGTCTATATTAAAATTGTAATACTCAATGTATACTGATAACAAAAGATGAATACAAGTCACTTTTGACTTCTGCAATTACAAGAGGTGCTCAAAGTGGTTCAGTGTCCAGATACTTCTGATTATGGCAAACTAAACGTAATGGATAGATAACGCCGCAACATGGCTTAAAATGTGTGTACATTTTTTTGGCACCTCCCCGGTGTGTGTGTGTATGTATGTATATAAAGAGGGGGGTAGGTGGGGAGGAAGGGAGGGAGAGAGAGGGGAAAGGAGGAAAGCCTGTCAGAATTGGAGGGACATTCCGTAAGCACAGTTGTGATTGTCATGAAAGTTTTAGGGCAAATCTTTCCCTCTACTATCAGGAACTTTCCGTTTGGATAAGAGGTTGATGGTAGAGACCTTGAGATCCTGTGGCTTAGAAGTTTTAAGCACCAGATGGTGTTTGGCCAAGCATTTTGCTAGTAGCTCAGAAAGCCTTGTTGAATTTTTAAATGCGTCCCTGTATGCACTCTGCATGCATATAGCAGGGTCCCATATCTAGTGGAGTGGGAAAGTGAGCATGGGTACCTAATGATCCACGATCCATTTACAGCAGGATCACCTCCTTCTGCTCACAAACCCCCTCTGGAAGAACACATGACTCTGCTCTGGGTGCTGGTCACATAATGTTGGATTGCCAAAAACCCAAGTAATTTCTTTCATGACCTATTTGGACTTTCAGATACTTGTGATAAAAATTCCTAGTTTCAAAAACGACGGTAGCTTCTTCACTGATGCCTTAGTTTGTGAGGAAATACATATGAGGGGGGGACCCAAAAAGCCCCAGCATTTATTTATAAAAATTGTGAATTTACTCTTACATGTTTAAACTTCATCTCCCTTCAAAGTACTATCCATTTAATGCAGTATATCTATTGAGGCATCTTTTCTACTGCTCAAAACAGGTTTTGAGCTTGTCAATTTTGATGCCTTTCAGTGCTTCTGCTGTTTTTTTTTGTTTCACCTCTTCCACATCAGCAAAACATTTCCCTTTGAGCACCTTTTTCATCTAAGGAAACAAAAAAAAGATCACTCAGGGCAATATCAAGTAATAGGGAGGGTATGGCATGGGCATCATGCTGTTTTTGGTCAAAAACTGCTGAACACTCAGCATAGTGAGGGCGGGTGTGCTTGTAAGTCATCTATCATGAAATGGGCACTTTGAAAGAATCTCCAGAAAAAAATTTGCTGAAGCTGAATGCAGCCACTCACAACAACGCTTGCTGGTACACTGATGCTGATCAGTTCCTAGAATGCTTACCTAGTGGGGGAAGCCTGTACTACAAGCGGCCTATCCTCCAAAAAAAATTCAATTTTTTTGGATTCCTCCCTCATATATATGTGGAGTAAGTCACCAGAAAATTTATTAGACGGGAAGATACATATTTAATCTATGAAGGGTTTTGTTATTATATGTTAGGTTTTAGAATACCAGCATTCAGACTGCTTTTCTACTGTTTTTTAGACTTTATTATCCTGGCAGTATGGGGGATGCTGGCTGTAAGTGGAATTACGTTACAGATTCGAAGAGAGAGAGGTCGACCGTTCTTCCCTCCCCACCCGTACAAGTTATGGAAGCAAGAGAGAGAGCGCAGAGTAACGAACATTCTGGACCCAAGCTACCACATTCCTCCACTGAGAGAGAGGCTCTATGGCAGATTAATCCAGATCAAAGAGCTCTTCCAGAAGGAGCAGCCAGCTGGAGAGAGAACGCCCCTGCTTCTGTAGATGCCTAGGGGCTTGGTTGGTGTCCCCAGTTTTGGTGTTCATGCCAGAGTGCATCAGCAATCTCCCTTGCAAGTCTATTAAGTGATCAGGCATCTGTATCTGTGCTTTGCATGGTATTATGGTGTCTTATTGATATATGGTAAGGGTATGCTCACCTTTACCTAGTACGATTCTAATAGAGTAAGAAAATGACCAAAAAGTTGGTGATAGGCAGGCTTTTCCTTATTCCAGATACTTGAGAAATCACCTTTTGGCTTACAAATATTTGATCAACTTATTCCATTAAATAGATATATTTTTAAAAAAATTAAAAAACAATCATTCTCCTACAGAGTCCTGTTGTTTCTTTTTATACCTCCTTGAACAAGTCTCTCAGCTGAGTCTGTCCAAACTTGGAGAGGGGGAGGTTTATTTAAGTGTCATACTGAATATTTGCCACCGTGTCTGGAGACTAGGGGGTTTGATATTGGGCCTCTGGACTTCAGATTACAAAGAGAAGCAGATTATTTTCTTACTAAAACCAGTAAGATTACTCAGTGGCATGCCTTTTTCAGTGTGATATATAATAAAAAAGTTACCCTTAAGTTTTTTTCCCAGGATTTTTATTTAAAACTTTTCTTTTCTGTTCTTTTTTGATACGGGTTTTCACTCTGTTGCCCAGACTGGAGGGCTATGGTGCAGTCCCAGCTCATTGCAGCCTCGACCTCCTGGGCTCAAGCAGTCCTCCCACCTCAGCCTCCCCAGTAACTGGGACTATGGGTGCACACTACCACCCCTGGCTATTTAAAAAAATTTTTTAGAGATAAAGTCTCACTATATTGCCCAGGCTGATACTTAAAAATTTTTATTATTTACTTATTTTTGAGTTGAGGTGTCACTCTGTTGCTCAAGCTGGAGAGCAGTGGCACGACCACCACTCACTGAAGCCTCGACCTTCTGGGTTCAGGTGATCTTCCTGCCTCAGTCTCCTAGTAGGTGGGACTACAGGTGTGTACTACCATGTCCAGCTAATTTTCTTTTTTAAATTTTTTGTAGAGATGGGATCCCATTATGTTGCCCAGGCTAGTCTTGCAGGGCTCAAGCCATCTTCCCAAGTACTGGGATTATAGGTGTGAGCCACTGCGCCTGGCCAAAAATTTTTGATTGTGACAAAATACACATAAAATTTACCATCTGATTCACTCCTACGTATACAATTCAGTAGGTTCCTTTTCGTTTTTGCCTTTTATTGCTTAAAATGGTAAATTATAGCTAAATTATTTCAGTTATTTGAAAATAAGTTAATTTATATATAATTGAACTTTTATATGGGCGATTTGTTTATATTCCAAATAATGGCCTCTTTTTTTTTTCTTTCTTTTAAAAATAGTGTTAACAGGTGATCTTTAAACTGCATTACATAACATACGTATTGTTTGCTTTTAGGAAACAAGTTGATCCCTATCTTATTCTATGTTGCCATTAACAAGAAAAGTATATATAAAAAAAATCACACTTCTTAGTTCTTTCTCCTAAATTATCTATGTAGCATTAGTGTGAAATACAATTTTTAATAATTTCTTCTTCTTTATGAAGCTTTTGTACTACCTGTGTTTGTTTTGTTTTGAGTCAGGGTCTCACCTCTCAGGCTGGAGTACAGTGACATGATCATGGCTCACTGTGGCCTTGACCTGGGTTCAGGGAATCCTCCCATCAGCATCCCAAGTAGCTGGAACTACAGGCATGCACCACTACACCAGGCTAATTTTTTGATTTTATTTTTTTGTAGAGGCGAGGTCTTACTATGTTGCCTAGGTTGGTCTTGAATTTCTGGGCTCAGGCAATCCTCCCACCTTGGCCTCTTAATGTGCTGGGATTATAGGTATAAGTCACCACATCTGACCGTTCTATGTTTTATTTATTTATTTTTGAGTTGGAGTCTCACTCTTTGTCGCCCAGGCTGGAGTGCAGTGGCATGCTCACAGCCACTGCAGACTTGACTTGCTGGGCTTAGGTAATCCTTCCACCTCAGCCTTCCAAGTAGCTGGAACTACAGACGCATGCTACCACGCCTGGCTAGTTTATTGTAGAGATGAGGTCTCACCAAGTTGCCCAGGCTGGCCTTGAAACCCCGGACTCAGGCAATTCTCTCGCCTTGGCCTCCCAAAGTGCTGGGATTCCAGGCTGAGCCACCGTGCCCGGCCCCTTCTGTTTTAAAGTGATGGAGAAGGAGTCGAAAAGGACTCAAGTATTTAATGGAGGTGCTTTTCATTAGGAAATTGGATTCTTTAAGGAGCATCCCCTCAGTTTGAGACCCTTGTTTCACCACAAGAAAGAACCTGAATGCCCTGGACTGCATTACCTGCTACTCATGGACTGTTTTCTCAGCGGCTGAAGTGTTGAATTGTGAACTGGTGAGTGATACTGAGGTTGGTGGTAGGTGTTGCATACACATTTGTGAGTTAACCACTGTTTAAATGAAGCTGCTTTTTATACCGTTTTTTCAAAGCACAATAGATTTTTGAAGTTTCAGGTAACTGGAAAAAGTTTTCACTTTTGCTTTCATAAGTGTTTTGAGGCTGGGCACGGTGGCTTATGCCTGTAATCCTAGCCAAGGCATGAGGATTGCTTGAGCCCGGAGTTCAACACCAGCCTGAGCAACATACTGAGATTTCATCTCAACAACAAAAATTTTAGCCGGGCATGGTGATGTGAGCCTGTAGTCCTAGCTACTTGGCAGGCTGAAGAGGGAGGAGTTGCTTGAGCCCAAGAGTTTGAGGCTACAGTGAGCTGCGGTCATGTCACTCACTCCAGCTTGCCCTGACTCAAAAAAAAAAAAAAAAAAAATTTTGAACAGTATAAAAGAAAATGAAAAAATACAAAACAAATAATTTTTTGCTTTGAAAAATTCAATGCGCGTGTCCATTTACTATTTATTCTGTAATCCCTAATGTCTATGACTTTAGTAACACTTAAACTTGATGAAAAAAAGTTTTTAAAAAATAATTTAGGGACTCCGGTTTCTACCATGTTTTCATACATTCTAACAAAGTTATATGGACTGTTTGCGAGTTGCTTTCTTATACCCTCAGAGTGCACTGCCAGTGAAGACTGTAAAGGCAAAACGTGCTTTTTTGGAGAGGGGATGCAAATTGTTTAAGAATTTTCATGATCATTCGTGAGTGATAAAAAGCCAGTTTATATGGTTTTTATAATAAATATCTATTTGAAGAAAAAATGCTAAAAAGCCTCATTATTATAATAGTCATTACATTTCTCACTGATGATATTTGCACCATAGTAACAAGACAAGAGAGAACAGTTTTATAGCTATAAAAACAAAATGATTTTATCGGGACAAACAATATAGTTCTTTATTTTAAAAAATCATAAGGATCAGTGAAATAACAGGAAGCGAAATCTGGGACAGCGTGTTAAAATTTATATTCTTTTTTAGAAGGAAAGCTGATTCCTTCTCATGGATTAATTTGTGCTGGTGTTATTAGCACTTCAGGTGTGTCAAGCTGAAGAAAAGTAACAGTATTATAGGAACCTATTAAATTATTTTTTAAATGTTTTCAGAAAGTAAGTTCTGATTAACCTGTTATAGATTAGCTACCAGGTTGCCAAACTCCACTAGCTGAATAGTACTAAATAGTACTACCGGCCAGTTGAATTTTCTGTAGCAGCTGGAATACAAAACTGATTTTAACAATGAAATTGTTCAAATGTTAAACCTGGAAAGGAATTTAGAGAGCATGCTCTCTGACCCCCTTATTTTATACCTCAGGAAATTCTTGACCAAGGAGTTAATTATATGAAGTATAGAGTTATCACATAACAGTGCCCAGGCCAAAATTGGGATGACTGACTCCTTGTCCAAATGTGCTTTATAATCTTGTCATGATGAAGATGTGAATTGCTGATTATTTTTAGTTTTCTTCTGACGAATTGATAGGATATTTCTAATGTAAATATTTGTTGCTATGGTCTCTCCTTTGGAAACTATTACTCTTGCACAGCTGAAAACATGATTTTCTGAGTCAATTCTCCGAGGTCATGGCCCATTTCTTATTTATTTCAAATGATTGATATGTAATAGATATTTAAAATGTTCAATACTCATAAATATCTCCACCACAGCATTTGTAGAGAATGTTTTGGTATAAAGTTCACTCCTCAATAATGTACTTTTTACCTACTAGTAAGTCATTTAAATCCAGAGTTTTTGGCTCTAATTTCCTTAGAACCAGGCCTCACCCTGGGGCTTGGCCTCAAGCCTTAGTCCTTGTTGGGAGGGCAGCTTTTTCCTTTACAATATGGACTAAGCTGTACCCACATTTATATGATTGATGTCCTAATACCCGGTAGCTCAGAATGTGACCTTATTTGCAGATAGGGCCTTTAAATTAAATTGAGGCCATTAGGGTGGGCCCTAAACCAATCTGACTGTAGTCCTTATAAGAAGGGGTGATTAGGACACATAGAGAAACACCAGGGATATGTGCTCACAAACACAGAGGCAGTGAGAGGATAGTCATCTGCAAGCCAAGGAGAGGGGCTTCAGAGGAAACCAACCCTGCTGACTCCTTGATCAAAACTGTGAGAAAATTATTTCTGTTAAGCCACCTAGTCTGTAGTATTTTGTTATGGCAGCCCTAGTAAAGGAATACACTGTGCAAATCCTTTCCCCCTGATTATTGAGTGAAATGCCTCTTGGCAATTTGGCCACTGTTTCTGCAAGGATGGTTCTCTATGTAATTGACATAAACTCAAGTTAGTGGAGCTCAGTACTTATCCAGGGAATACCATGTAATCATTACACTGGGGAGGCTGGCAAGTCTGGATTAAGCTGTATCAGCGCAAGAGGCAATTAAAAAAATATTAAAATACTGTGATGGTAGACTGTGACTTGGACTTCACCTTCACTCATTCAGTAAATATTTGAGTTCCGATGTGCCAGGCATTGCCTTGGGCATGAGGAAGAGGGCAAACAGTATAGGCATGGTCTTTGCTCTCAGGGATTAGAATGTAATAAGTGAGACAGATACTAAAAGTTACTCAAAAGTAGTTTAATATGCAATGAAAATGTGTTATGGGATGGGAGCAGAATCTGGGATACCAGGGAAGAGTTTCTGAGGGAGTGACATTTGAGCTGAGACTTGGAGGGTGAAGTAGCCGAACCACAAGGAGGTTAAGTGCATTCGGGGTGTGTGTGTGCGTGTCTGTCTGTCTCAGAAGGCTTGAGGCCTCCCTTTCTCATCATGGAAGCCATCATGGAGTTTCAATTGGCTGCCCAGGCAGTCATGACAACCCTTCATTTTGGTGGTTGCTGTGTCAGCTCTCCCATTCTTACCTTTTGGCATTTGGAGCAGGGTGCCGTGAGGCTTCTTCTGTTAAATTTTAACTGCACTACAAAACTGCCCAGAGCATACCTTGTGCTTAATTCCTCCCAAACCCTGTAATTTAGCATTTCTCTGGAAGGTGCATCAGACTTACAAGCTATAGCCCACCTGCACACAAGTATAGTGTGCCTGACTCTATTGCCCTTAGGGTGAATTCCTTCCCTTGGAAGGTTAAAGAATGGCCATAATTATCTTTTTGCTTTGGGGTCTCTGTTGAGAGATTCCATTGGCCAGACTTGATGGCATGTGCTCTGACCTGCCTGAACTCATGGTGGGGACTCTGGAAGGGACATGGCTGCCTTTATCTGGGAACTCTGAACAGAAAGGGCAGAGGATCAGAGAAGGAATGCAGCTGGAAGAAATAAGTGGGATGCACTGATCAGTGTGCCTTTGCTCCTTAGTTCTCCAGTTGCTGATTTCAGCAATGTAACCAGGCCTCATCTCCTTTTTAAAATAGATCGGCTGTCTCATTTGGGGGAGGAGATCATCCATGTATCAAAATCCCTTAACATAACTAAAATACATGTATTGTCAGGGTGAGGCCGAGGGTTCTGGAGGAATAATTTCAGGGACAGGGTTGAAGGCTTCCTTTCTCTGAGAGAGTATACTCTCATCTTGCTCATTAATACCTGAGGTTTTTTCAGCAGGGCAGTCTTCCATTCCACAAAAGAACTACAGCCCTCACCTACCAAACCAGCTCTCCTGTCTGAATTCCTTCAATGATATAAACCAGTGATTTTCCTCCTAATGAATGAGGATAATGTTTTTACCCTCTTGTGTTCTACGTGTCTAGAGTCTTGCATGAACTAGTATCAGAAACCTGAACGTGTTCATTGAGATAGGTCTTAAAATGAACACTTTCTAGGAAAAGTCAGTATTTTAAGAACACTCACTCAAGGAAAAATAACTTGATCTAATAGCAGCCTTTGATTTGATAGCACTGAGCACTTGACCCAGAATGTGCTGAAATTTGAAACCAGGAACTGACAATCACTTGCATTTTAAACTAGCCAACCCTACTCATCTTCAACAGTATATATACAAAGAAAAGCAATGTGCTAAGGTTTGGGGTTTATATACAACTACAACTGTGGCTAATCTCAATTAGGGAACATGATTCTAACCAGCTTGCCTGATGCAGTCTTCCTGTCAGTGTCTGGTGCTCCAGAAGTATATTCTGTGTTTCTAGATTAGTATATTTGAATCTGGTTTGCAATTCTAACTTGAATGATATTGGTTTCAATATACTGAGTTTTCTGAAGGCTTTGGTTGCTCTAAAACAGTGGGTTTACCATTTTCCTTTTGCTCATATGGAAAAAAATTTGCAAGAGATAGGTGTTTAAAAATATATTTATAGATAGTGTAAAAGAATGAAATCTCAGGACCCCAATTTTGTGCCAAGGGGAAAGAAGCCTAGAAACTGAGTCATGCAACACCTCTGTTCTTTTCCCCCAAATAGATAGCAGTAATTTTACAACCCTGTGTCACACACAGCATTATCTAGAAGCCAGGTTCCCACAATAGCAAAAGGCCATTTACCTCCCCAGATGGCTTCCATCACAAATAACTCACAAAGAAATTCCTTGCTAGCCCCTAAATCTTTCAGGATACACACACCCTTTATAAAACCAGCACATGCCAATTGCTACCTTGGGTCTGCAACCTAAATTGAACTCCTAAAACTGTTGTTAGGTCTCACACTGACAATCCCAGGTTGCAGAACAAGAACAAGATCACTCTTCTGCCTGCCGGAGATGGATGCATAATTGACTCTTTCCTCTACTCCCTTTTTTCAAATCCTTACCTTATTTTAGTAAAACACAGATGGAGTGCTAATTAGAGTCTCACTGTCTACCCTTCTTCCCTTTTATACTCCTGCTTGCTCTCTCCTTAAATACAGAGCTCCCAAAACCTTCTTAAGAAAGCACAAGTCAGCCGGGCACATTCCAGCACTTTGGGAGACCAAGGTGGAAGGATTGCTTGATCCCAGGAGTTTGAGCCAGCCTAGGCAACATAGCAAGATAGGCAATTTAATATTAAACTTGTTATTTATTATGCAAACCTAGGTACATGTTTATCTTCCTGTGAATAGAATCTTCAAGGCATAGAATATAATCAACTACATTGAGTATATATCAATAATTTACTTAACTATTCCCTTCTATAGGGTATTTAGGTTGAATCCATTTGTCCATTTTTGGCCAGGGACAGCAGTGGAGATGGAAAGGGTAAGATTCTGATATATTTGGAAGAGTCAACAGGTTTTGCTGGTGAATTGGATGCAACATATAGAAGAGACTGCATGAGTCGGGAATTAATGAGGGGTCTACACCAGAGCTGTAAATTTGGGAGTCATCCAGCATACAGGTGGCATTTAAAGTCACGACTAGGTGAGATCACCAAAGAAGTGAGCAGAGATACAGCACAGAATAAGGACTGAACCCAGTGGCTGTCTAATGTTGAGAGGTCAAAGAGAAGGAAGGAATAAAGGAGGCTGAGAAGGAGCAGCCAATGAGGTAAAAGAAAAATGTCCCCTGAAATCCCATTTAGAAATTATCTTCATCAGTATTTTACTAAAAAAATTGTTTTGTTTCACTGACAATCAAAAAAGGTAGTAGTGATCACCCAAAATTAAGTTATGGGTGCATTATCTTCCATTTTCCATAAAGTAGTTTAGAGATAATAAAGTTTTAGGAGTCACCCTGATACTAAATATCAGAGAATATAAATTTGAGCAGAAAGTATATCTTGGGTTGTATATAATTGGTTTTTAGAAATGTATTCCTTATATAGGCTAAAAAATATTGACAGATGATCAATAATAATGTATTCATTTCCCAGAGCTGCTATAACATTATCTTAGTCTAGGTGGACGAAAAGAACATACATTTATTTCCTCACAGTTCTGGAGTCCAGAAGTCTGAAATCCAGCAGGGTTGGTCCTTTCTGGAGGCTCAGGGAATCCTTTCTGTGCCTCTCTCCCCGCTTCTGATAGTGGCTAGCAATCCTTGGGGTTCCTTGACTTGCACAACTCTCTGCCTCTGTTTTCACATGGCTTTCTCTCTTTGTGTTTGAATTTCCTTCTCTCTTATCATACAAGGACACTAGTTACTGGATTTAGTGCCCATCTTAACTCCAGGATGATCTTATGAAATCCTTAATTACAGACCTTATTTCCAAATATGGTCACATCCTAAGTATAGTGTTAAGGCTTGGACTTAGCTTTTGAGAGAGACACTATTCAACCCCTATAGATGATGAAAAGATTTGCAGGATCAGCATTAAGAAGCTGCTGACCGATTCCTAAATACAAATGGAGGTTGTTTTCAAATTCAGTTGAAGATCATACCGATTTAAATCACTCATCTTTATTGATAAAATAGGGTCCTATGCAGTACATACTTTCAGACATAAATTTAAGGTTCTGTTTAACAACAACAAAAAAAGTATGGGTTGGAAAATGTCACTAAATAACAAATTCAATGTCTTTAAACACCGAGACTTTAAAATTATATTCAAGCAAAAAGACTAAGAATAAATTAACCTGTTTACAAAAATAATTATTTATCAAGTAATAATATTTTATAATAGAGCTGCCTCAAGGAATTGCCTCAGACTTCATCTCAACTGTATAGCTTACTTTCTTTAATTATTTCCTGGGATGAAAACTATTTGAATGAATGTGTCATTAAATTAAGGGATAAGTTCTCAAAAACCAATAGAAAAGTTTAAAAATAAAAACTGTCACTTATTTATAAAATATCAATTAAGGCTTCTGAATGAGAAAAAAAATCTAGTTAATGTTTGGGCCATTAGCCCTTTTCTAGTCAATCAGCCCCATCCAACCCACTTACCCCAAACTTAAGATAGAAAAATTCTGAATTGAAAAGTAGTACTGAATTTTACCAATATATGAAATTATACATAAAAATTACCATGTGAAGTAATATTTCTTTAACAAGTTAATCAAAAGCAGAATTTTCTATTTGTGCTAATTTAATATGTATTTAATATAAATGAATATATTTAATATTTGACATTCATCTTTTATCCTTATCCACGGTCACTAAATATAAGACAAATTTAGGTTTCAATTGACATTAAAGCACATTTCTGAAAAATGTGGCTTTAAAAAATTTACATACTGTATATTTGATATTTTTTAAAAAACAACAGAAAACAAATACTTCTGAATTCGTAGGTTCCCCTCACCCTTTCAACTGAAAGACTGTAAGAAGAATTTTACAGGTTATGAGGACCAGATGGAGCAACAATTTTTTTTGATATTTTAATTTACTTTTTCTGTATCTCAAGAATAATTACTTAAAAATAAGAGTTCTAAGAGCCAGAAAAATTCCCAATTAACTTTGAAATTACCATACATATCTTGCTATATCAAACACTTCAACTCTGTTAATTAAATGAGCTGCATAATATCTTAAAGATCAACCAGAGAAGAGAAAAATCTCATCTTCATTTTGACTTAGAACTCGACTTGTTCTTTCAAAGGAGTGGTTTAACCCACTAAATATGTCTATTATATAAGATCTTCTTTCTTAGAAAGTAATATTCCTTCTCTTTCATTCCTGAAATGATATTTCATACGCTTAAGCAAATTATGGACAACCATTAGCTAAGAATTAGTTATGGTAAACTAGCTAAAATTAAAATTACCTCTTTTGTTTATGGTACATATAAAACATTCCTACAGCCTTTAAAACTGAATTTTCTTTCACAAAAAGTTAAATTAACGGGAACGCAAACAGGCAATCACTAAAGCTGGTTTCCTAGTACATAAGCTATATGTTAACTCTGACACCAAACAAGAAGGATGAAATTTGGTATGAAAATCTACCATTCACAAAAGGGTGGCAAAAATGTATATTGTTAAATTGGGATAACTATGAGTTCCCAAACATTCACTGGGAATATTCAAGTTTACCTAAGTATCTCCCAGAAAGCCAGTGGCACTGCTAAAAGCTCTTGACAGGTTCAGCAGTCACTGAAAACCTTTCATTTGTTTACCAATTAATAATGGCTCCATTTCAACTTTTCAATTATATTTCAGAATAAAGTCTATGACCACTAACTATGCAGTTTTTTTGTTGCTATCACATAGCCAGTGAGTACACCGTACATATTACAGAGAAAAAACAAAGGGTTGATTGAGTTCTGTTCATTCATTCATTCACTTAATAGGCCAGTCCTAGTGACCATTTGGAGCCAGGTAAGATGCTCACAGACTTGGAAACTCTTCAGCTCTTCCTCAGACTTAGGTCACTATTGGTCACTAATGCAGACAAAGAAGTACTTTCCGACGCATCATCTTTCCTAAGGTTCAAAAATGATTCTCGAGTTATTTGAAGGATCTCTCTCAAGCCTTTGTTTTCTTGCTGTAAGAAGGGAAGCAAAATAAAGATGTAGTCGCCATTTACAAGGTAGCTACTAGAGTGCCAACATATATTAAGCCAAACACATGAAGCCAAGCATATGAACATACTAAGCCGAATATATGAAGGTACAACAAATAAAAAGCAGGTTTTGTAGCTGACATAAATGCACTAAATGATATATGTATTCGCAACTTGAATCTAAAGAGCACTTCAGACATAAATTTGAGGTTGTTTAACAACAACAAAAAAGTATGGGTTGGGAACATGTCACTAAATAACAAAGTCTCAGGTGGCCTATTCCTCAAGAATTTATTTTTATACCAGTTTTAGGCTTACAGAAAAGTTGAGCCTGAATTATAGAGTTCTATACTCCCTGCAACACCTTCACCCAAGATCCTTTTATTATTAACTCCTTTCATTCGTGTGGTACAGTTGCTAGAGCTGATGAATCCATGTTGATCCTTTACTATCACATGTACCCCCGTGTAGGATATTTTCACTGCCCTAAAAACCACTGTGCTCCATCTACTACCTACCTACTCACCTCTCAATTCCCCCCATCCCCCTTGCCCTGACAACCACTCATCTTTTCACAGTTTCCATCATTTTGCTTTTTCCAGCATGAGATATAGTTGAAATCACACGGGGCCCTTGAGAGCAGCCATTTTAACATTGCTTAGGTTTGTCATGTTTTCCTACCAGTTCACTTTGACTTACCCTCTAGTCATTAGCCAAGGACAGACCATTTTCCCAGAGATAGCTATTGATAATTTACAACTCCCTTCCCCAAGCCTGCTTTGTACTGTTTATTTTTCTATTCCCAGTTTGCCTTTCAGCCATTAAAAACCAAGATGACCTAATCTATTGGGATCAGCCTCCCATGACAAACTGCAAGGCCACTACCTGGAGTAATAAAATGTGTCACCCTGACCTCAAGACACAAGACCTATGTTATCAACACCTAAGAACGCAGTTGCTGGAGATTTTTCTCACTAGATCTGCTCCCTTATCGAAACCTTAAATACATGCTCTCTTCAGACCATATACCACACACCTTTAGTGCTCCCTTCCCATCCCTCTCCCTGGGAAGTATAATACATCCTTTTGCTTTGTCTCTACAATTCTTTGCTTTACTCCCAGGGCACCGGCCTACCTCACAGACCTAACTCTATAAACTCAAAGAGGTAGTGGATAATACCCTGGGACTGAAACCTCTTAGTACTTTAGTACTTGTATTACTCTCCATGATAGCATGGAATGGAGTACAAGCCATCTGGTTTGCTTCTCTCACTGGAATTTGAGAGCAGCAGAATCGGTTGAGTAGATTATGACATTTTTCAAGGAGTGACCAAATCTGGCACTGGTAAGTAATTTTGCCTCCTCCTCCAGATTAGTTACTGTTGAAATATTTAAAAGTAACCGTTCATAATTTATTCTCTATCACTTTGTCTTCAGTCTCACTTTCCAAATTTAAATGGTATTAAGCAGAGATTAGCAAACTGTGACCTGGCCTGAGTTCTGCTTCTAGAAGTTATATTTTATTGGAACATGGCCACACCTAAATGGCTGCTTTTCACTTACAATGGCAAAGTTAAATAGGTGCAAACAGTCTAGTTAGCAACATCTAAAAAATTTACTCTGGTGCTTTGCTGAAAAAGTTTGCCAACTCCTGTTAGAAGAATGGGAGAACACGTAAGCTCAGATAAATCATTTTTGGCCCTCTACAACCAATTTCCCCATGATTTCAAAATGAAGCTCTTTAAAGTATATTCTACTGATTTGAACTATCCAACAATGTCTCATACCTTTGCCTGCACAAAATAAAGGACGAATGAGACAAAGGCATTTAGTCCCCAGAAACATAAAAGTACCCCAAATGTTTGTAGATTAAAACAATATTTCCCTGCAATACCACTGACCTGGCCTAGTTTCCCCATAGAATGTTTTATTTACTTACTTATTTTGAATACACACAGACATTGACCCTCCTGGTTTTAAAACATAAAGCTTACATTTGCCTTATCTGACTGAGTTCCTCCCTCAGGAGACTGACCCTTTAGGAAAGGCACTGAAGCTCATGGAAACACTGCATCCAGTACTGGACCACTGCATCCAGTGAAATGCCAGACCCCTCACTCAACATTTCTGCTTCCTTCCCCCTCTCTAATTGCTATTTTAAATTCCTTCCTTCACGATGTAAACCCTCAATTTCAGTTGGCCAGGGAGCTGGATTTGAGAGTGATCTCCCATTCTCCTTGGCTGATATCACCCAATTAAAAGCCGCCTTCCCTAGCAATACTGGTCTCAGTGAATGGCTTTCTGTGAGGCAAGCAACAGGACCACAACTAAACCCCTAGTGTTTGGGCAACACTATGATCTTTAATAGAATGAACACATTTTAAAATGTTACACAACTGAAGAAATACCTAGTAAGATAAGCAATATGGGATCAAAAACCATTTTCTCAATTGCTGGTATATTTTAAGTGACTAAAGAGTCTAGATTACTGCATTACTATATAAATGGTCTTACACCATACACCCATATAACCAGCAATCAGAAGAAAAAGAACATTACAAGTACTCCAGAAAAGTATGTATGTATTTAAAAATGGGATTTATTTTCTGGTATAAGTCTTTTTATGGACAGTTTTCACCTACATTTGCAATTTAAAACTTACTTCAAGTTGAAATATTCGTTCCTGTTCCTTGCAACCCTGTTGCTCGTCAATTTCTATGGCTTTCCTCATTACTGCTGCCATTTCAGTTATCTGGTCAACATGTGCTTGTAGTTCCTGAAAAAAAGGAATGAGAATTTGAAATCAGCAAAGTACTTTATTATTTTTATTTTGGGATCCTCTACTTTTTATAAAATCTGCAGTGCCACTTAACATGAATAATATATCAGACAGATATTCACAACAAAATTGTTTGACCGTGAATGTACTTTGGAAATCAGATTTCTGTTAGGTCTAGAATTAAGAATAAGCAGAATAATATAACTAAATCTAGCAGCAAGAAAAGTGTCCAAATTTCACATTTCTCTCACAGTGATCAGTAACTTTTTCTTTTCTGCACCTACATACACTATTGGCCAAAATAATGGGAAAGATAAAAATAGTTGACACATTCAATCTCATTTTCTCCCTGAAGTCTTCATGATTTACAGATATTTTCTGTGTTTTCCATGTCTACAAATTGATCTCAACCCAATTGGTAACCTTTTCTAGATCACAATCCTCCTTGACAGCAGGAGTTGTATTTTGTTTATACCTGCCTATTAATGTATGGTACATGATAAATATTGAGTACAATGAACAGAATTCTGCTTTTAAGTATTAAAATATTAAATGGCCTTTCTTTTTTCAAATGTTGAAAATAAAACTTCAGTATAATGTAGACATGCGCATTTGTTAGGCACAGCAAGTAGCATAAATTCTTCTAATAAGATTTTCCCTAATTTTTTTGTACACCAATAATGTGCTAGGCACTGTCCTAGGCAACAGGAATAGAAAACTGTTAAGAGACGTGTCTTGATCTAAAGGAGCTTACAGTCTACTGAAAGAGACAGACAAAAAAGGTTAAAAATCACCAGAAACCTGGGAATGATCATTTTCTCCATAAATAGCTTCTATTATTCACTGTCAATTGAGTTGCTGTATTATATTAAGCCCAAAACTTAAATATAAAGGCGAATAACTTGCCAAATAAACATTGTTTCTTAAATAGTTACACTCTTTCTTTGTAAAAAAGATTTAAATAAGACCCCTGAAATCCAGACCTAGTAAACAACAGGAAGAAATGATAAAGAAAAAAATAGAAATATCTTTGGCAAATCACATTTAATGTTCTCCTAACCAATAAAAAATGCAGGTTCTTATATTTTAATGAGGAAATCTATACAGTGCTAGTACTCAGGAAGAAAGTACAATAAAAGACTAATCTGTGCTGTCCAATACAATGCTATTTAAATTAATTTAAATAAAATACACTCTTTAAAAATTAATAATTCAGTCTCAGTTGCACTAGTGACACTGCAAATGCTCAATAGCTAATGTTGCCTCTACAACGAACAGCATAGATAAAAGATATTCACATCATTTCAGAAAGTTCTATTGGATGGCCCTGATTAGATTATGGTAGCAAGAATGATATCAGACAAATACCTGTCATATGCTACAAAAGTTTAAAAAAAATCATTACAATTCCTCCCATTGTAAAGGGAGCACAATGTTTAAAAGCAAGTAAGTACTGATAACTGATAATCTGCAGCATCAGATTTAACAAGGGTAAAGAGTAAAAATTTTGAATACCAACAACAGCTTTCTTAATTTATGATTTGGCCAGTCCTATGGCACTGACCTAGGATACAAAACTACATAGGAAGCAAGTATTTCTTTGCCTTTCAAAAGGAAGAAAAAGACTACTAATTTTTTTCAGGACAGAGTCCATTCTAACAAGTCCATTATGAGAAAAACACACAGTGCTTCAAATAGAACGGTATTTTTACAGGACCAGTTAATGGATCTCTTACTAACTATAAAATCTTTAGAGAAGTATCACAGACATTTTAATGAGCACAAGAGGCAAGATCTCTGCTTTCAAAATCATCTTGAAGTGAAGAAGTGTCACCAACATAAGCCCTGAGCTGTCTTGAAATGCCTTTCATTTCTAACTTTTGTCTAGGTTTACCGCTACTTTACTCAATAATGACTTGCCACAACTTTTTTTAAAAAAAGAAAAAAAAAAAGACAGTTGAGATACAATGAAGAGAGCACTACTACAATACTGAATCCTAACATCTAAACAAAGGCATTTTTATTTCATTTGTGAACTCAAACTAAAGGACTATAAACTATCACAAATCTGAATTAAAACATTTCATTTAATACTTTGACCAAAATTTTTATGAAATCGAGCTAAAATTACTGCCAAGAAAATATATTTGGATGTCCAGAAAGAGAATGACTGTTTTGCAGAAACAAAAACTGCAGCAAAACCTAACACGAGCAAATAAGTGAAAAGCTGGGTTAAGTAAACTTTAAAACTTGCAACCTAAGTAACTTTTAAAACCTATCAAACAGGTTGTATATGATACAATACACAGAATTAGTGACAGATTTTTAAAGTCTCTATGCTGAATAGCATAGCTATACAAGGCATAGTATTCTTTTAATCAATTTCATTATTTGCTGATCTAATCTGGGAGAAAAATTCAATGTAAAAGAACTTTTAAAATGGACCCCCCCCCTACATCCACACCCCAAAAGTTGACTTTTATTTAGTGTACATTCTGATTTGCTTCCAAGTGCCTCCTCTCCAGTCCATGTTGAGGTGCTTCAAGGATGTGTCGAGATGCAGCAAGGAACAATCCTTCGGAGTTGTTACGATGTAGATGTACCATGTCAATCTGTAGTATAGAGTCATTATAATGTTAATACGGATATTATCCGTAGTTTAAACACTGAATGAGTGTTAGTTCATGCGTGTTAGCCGACTGTTTGAAATGTTTGTTTTTTTAAGATTTCCAAAAAGGCATTTGTTCAAAAATAATGTAAAAATGGATATTTAGATGAAAATGAGTTCTCAAATTTTCTAATGATTTTAAAATGTGTACCCAAATTCTAGGTGAGGGCAAAGTTCTGTGTGCCAATGGTCTTCAGAAAGGTCTCTGACTCCAAAATGCTGCTATGTGTAACCCTATTTCTTAATCCTAAATGTGTTATAAAATTCTTTGCTTTAGGCCTATCAGAGCACTAGTACCTAACAAATCTCAGAATGCTACACTTTGGGCCATTATCAAACAAGTTTCTCTGCTCACTCACTTCTGCTTGTTGATCCTCCTTCACCCTGCAATTAATTCAAGGCTGGGTGAATTTAGATGGATTTTCTTCCTTTCCTTGACACCTTTCCAGATTTTCCTCATGAGATCTAATACTGTTGTATCTAGTATTCCAGTAACAAGTCAGATCTCTATTTTAGGATTCATCATATCCTATCTTCTGTTAGCAATTTTTGTGCCTGTATCTCCCATTATACTGTAAGCTCCTATGGTGAAGTAATGTAACTTATTCATTCACTCACTTATTATGACTCATAATAACTAACCCAGTGTGACTATTAATAAATGTTTAGCTAAGTCGAAGTGTCTCCTTTTTGGGAAAAATCAAAATCACAAACATTAATATGTATTAGTTAGAATTAATAACAAGTAACTGAATAGTCGTTTTATGGAAGGCAAGGATCATCAGCACTGAGATGGAGAATTCAATCTATATAATGCAAAAAGGTGGTTTACAGCTATCTTAGGAAATGTTTAGCTTCACTGACTAATAAATCAGCTCTGGTCAATGGCAAAATCTAATGTATTTTAGAAAACATTTGCTTCTGTTAGAGTTGCTACCTGGTGGGTCCAACAAGCTGCAGTATCCTATTTTAAGTCCTTTTTTTTTTTTTTGGTCACGGTATTCTTCCCTTTAGATCTTCAAAATTTTATTTTTAAGATTACAAAACATATGAACCTTTTGGAATTTCTCAATTTACATTTTTCTTACCAATAATTTAAGTCAATTTCTCATTGCATCTTTAAAAAAATAGCTATATCTTTAAATTTAGATCATTTTATAATGGTCTCATTAACAACAGATATATTTTATAGTCAAAAGAATGCGACTTAATGTCTAAGGATTTCCATATAGTTAGGAGATGAATAGCTTAATTAGTTAATATTAACCCTGCATGTATTAATTTAATTTCTTATTTTACTAGTTGACACAAGAAGTACCTATGTAAGTTCTCTAATATGTATGTTGCTACATAAAGAGCTATTTGTTAGGCATTTAATTCTAATAGAATTATTAATAATTCAAAAACATCTACAAACATCAAAATGAAAGTTTTAGGAATCAGTTTCCATAATCAAGATTAAAATATGTCCTTTCCTATTTCTGCTATAACAAGTGAAAAACTCTCATATCACTATTTATAAGATAATATTAGTAATAATTAATATTAGTTAGCTCACCATTACCCAATACAGATAATAGCCTAGTTACCATAACCTACTCTATTATTTTTATTTCACACCAGCAGTCAAAATCAGTTTAAAACAAAATGCAAATGAGAAGGGATTATTCCACTGGCCTTCACAGCAGCTGTATGGGACATACCAAAGGAACTAGACACAAGGATAACAAAAAGTAAGATATATCGGGAATAACACCAATTTCTAATCATTTCAGCTTTGTCTCTAAAAAATGATGTCAATTGGGATGCAATACTGAGGGAGAGGAGCAAAATGTTTGTTTGTTTGTTTATTTATTTTTTCTAGACTCTACCCGCGGGGGCAAAATTTTGTATGTTGGTTCTTTTTTTTATTCCCAAACCCCATGGTTTTGCTATTATAATCAGAATCATCTATAGCCTGGATGAATTACTTTCATTCAGAAAACAGTCTTAAGAAAAACAATCTACATTAAGTTGCTTTCAGATCTTAAAAAAGGTTTTCAACATTTCAATTTTTGATTTTGCAACAGAATTCACAAGTTTATTAGAAAAAACATTTCTTAAAAACAGATAAACTTATAAAAATAATTTTGAATTGAACACTTACCTTTATTTCCAAAATAAAGCTTATTTTTGAATTTATATATTTAAGGTTACTAAGAAGCAATGAGTGTTAGAAGAGTAAATCAAACAGAAAATGATATATAACAAATGAAAAAAAAGCAGAAACTGTCAATAAAAAGATGAAGTATTCAGTATCATGTAAGATGGCATTATTAGATCTTGTGAGTAAAAAAAAATTCTAAATACAAGTTAACCAATTGTCCCTCTTTTCCATTTCAAGTCACATTTATAGAAATGGATTACCTTGGAATGTTGCTCTTTTAACTTCATTATTATACCCGGATCATCTTTTTTGCTAGCCATTAGCAATCTAAACATTTGTTCTCGATACTTGCTCATTATAAGTTCCAAGGCGGACTGATGTTCCTCCAGGGATGTACGCAGTTCTATCAAGGAAAAAAGTGTATTCAAATCTGAGTTAAAGGTACACAAAATATGCTCTTCCCTATTACATTTGTCAAAAAAAGCAACTAATAGGGCGTTTTAATGCAAAAAAATCTAAGCATACAATAATAAAGGACACTAAATGAAGTCCCCTATTAGTTTTTTGAAGGAACATATTAAACTCGTTTTTTGAGGATCATTTCAAAAAACATTTACTGAACAGCAATTAAAATATCACACAATGCTCTCTCTATATTAAGAATACAAAAAAATCACAGAGCTCAGATTCTAACAGAAAAAACAAATATGTGGTAAGTAAAGAATAAAGCTTTATTCAAATATACTTAAGAAATGTCTATGGGAAGTAACTGGTGGAAGCTTCATATAAGCGCTGTGTTGAGATGAACTTGACTTCCTTCAGTTGAAAAATAAAGGAATGGGCATTCTAAGCAGGGAGGCATGACAATGGGTATGTTTAGGCACTGATTTGGGATGGCAAGAGCAATGGGCTCCTGGTGAGGAGAGCTGTAGGAAGAAGATAAAAAGGAAGTCTGGGAATTGACTTTGAGGATCTTTGTATAAGGAAAAAAGAATATAATGAAGTTCTTATTCTGATGCTTCTGCTGATGATGGACTTGAGGAGGGAAAACAGACTGGAATTAGGGAGCCCAGTTAGGACGATTCAGGCAAGAGACTAAGCACTTAAGCTGGGACCAACACTGCAAACAATGGAGCTGAGTTATTTCATAGGAAGCAACAATGGCGCTAACTGGATTTTGAGAGTGAGAATCTAAGAGGGTGCCAAGCAAGGTAGCAATTAAAATGTAGGAGAGGATAAAAAGCAATAAATATGATTTAGGCACATGGACTAGAAACAGGACTAATGTCAAAAAGCAACTTTAGTTGGCTGTTTTTCTACTTTTGAAAATATTAACTGGTCCCAAATCAAGAGTACAATTGCCGAGTAAAGTTTTCTTTTACCATACATAGTAATAATGGATCTTACCTTTGTTCTCTTGTTGTAATTCTCTGATTTGTCTGTTTTCTTGCTGGATTCCCATAACTAATGTGGACCGTGGCCGATGTCTTGCAACTTCATTAAGTTCTTGAATTTCTTCCTGATACTAAAAACAAACAAAAAACAAACAAACAAAAAATCATGGGAATAAAATATATATCTGATATATAAAAATAAATAAATATCTGAGAAAGTTCTAGCTTGTATTCAGAATATATAAAGAACTCTTCCAATTTAAGAATAAAAAGAAAATAATACAATTTAAAAACTGGCAAAGGATTTTAACAGAATTGAATAGACATTTCTCAAAAGAACAAATCATATGGCCAATGAACACATGAAAAGATACTTAACATCATTAGTTATCAGGGAAATACAATTCAATACAACAGTGAGATACCACTTCATAACCACTAGGATGATTATAATAAAAAAGACAGACTGTTGAAGAAATTACAAACTTCATACATTGTTGATTGAATGTAAAATGGTGTAGCTGCTTTGGGAAACAATCTGGCAGATCCTCAAAAAGTTATTATAAAAGTTATTATATGATCCACCCATTCTACTCCCAAGGATATATACCCAAGAGAAGCGAAAACGTGTCCACACAGAAACTTGCACACAAATAGTCATAGCAGTACTATTCTGTTTTTTCTTTTGTTTGTTTGTTTGTTTTTGAGTCAGGATCTCACTCTGGTGCCCAAGCAGGAGTGCAGTGGCCCAGTCACGGCTCATCACAGCCTTGGTCTACTAGGCTCAGGCCATCCTTTCACTTCAGCCTCCTGAGTAGCTTGGACTATAGGTGTAAGCCACCACAACCAGCTAATTTTTAAAATTTTTGAGCGACAAGGTCTCACTGTGTTGCCTAGGCTAGTCTCAAACCCCTAGACTCAAGCAATTCTCCTGCCTCGGCCTCCCAATGTTCTGGGATTATAGGTATGAGCCACCGCACGTGGCCCAGTGTCATTTTTAACAGCCAAACAGTGAAACAATTCAAATGCCCCTCAACTGAATAGATAAGTGCAATGTACTGTATGCTTACAATGCAATATTATTTGGCACTAAACAGGACTGAAGTACTGATACATGCTACAACATACATGGACCTGAAAAACCTTACATTAAGAGAAGGTACTCACAAAAAGCTACATATTGTATCATTCCATTCATATGAAATGTCCAGAAAAGGCAAATCACAGAGCGAGAAAGATTAGTGGTTGTTAGGGACAGTGGAGAGGGGAAACTAGGGTGAGATCCCTAATGGATGTAAGGTTTTGTGGTGATGAAAATGTTCTGGAATCAGAAAAAGGTTACATTCGCACAATCTGGGAATATACTAAAACCCAATGAACTGTACCCTTCAAAAGGGTGAATTTTAAGGTATCAGATTATAACTCAATAATAATAGAACGTGCAAAAGAAATGCAACAATATTTTGCATTAAAATTAGAATCTAATTTGAAAATTACATTTATTTATTTTCAAGTCATTTTTATGAGCCTTAGTAAATACATTCATGATGACACTTCTGGTTCTTATCTTCAGATATCAAACTCCTTAATTTTACAAATCAATAAGAGGTGTATATTCACTTAAGTGCCTGAGACTAGCTGGACAGTTAGGGATGCAGATAATCTGTTTAGGACAACACAGCTGCAAAATAAAATAAGCAAACTTGCTCCATTATTTCCAGCAATTTTGTTAAAAGCATCATCTCATGGTTGCTTCCCTTTACAAAATGGATTAGTTTGAAGAGAGTTGACTTTGAATATACATTTTTGCCCTCTGATTTCTACCATAACATTGGAGGCTTTATAAAAGAGTTCAAAATTTATATCAGAGGAAGATTTAATGGTAGCTAAACTCCATGGCCCACTGGAAGATTCTCTTATACAACAGTAAAAATAGCAAGAAGTAAAGCCCTCTTAATTTCTTTAACTGGCAGCGTTAAATGAAAAATAAGGCAGCAAATACAAATGCAATAACTGCACAAGGTGTAAATCAGGTATTTCCTTTCATCATTTTCAAGATTATTTTGTTGTTTAATAGCATTACCTAAGTACTTTTATGAAGAAAGATATGAACATTTCTGTATTAAATAAGATAAAGCAAAATATGTCAACATTAGTAAAAGGAATTATCTGGTCTTTGTCAAATGTATCTAGAATTAACAAATTCATTTATTTTTAAAAACTTAAATGTTCAACTCTATCATAAAAATAAGTAAACAAATCTACAGATTTTAGAACATATATACATGTGTTATATCACCTGCACATAACAAAATTAAAGTAAAACTGAAACATACAAGCTACTTTAAAATGTTAGAGAACTCTGAAAAAAATTAGATACTAACTAGGCAGCAATTTATGATTCAAGTAATACATAAATGCCCAAAACTGCTTTGTTAAATGGAATCAACAAGAAGAAAAATCAAACCTGCTTCATGGCTTCTACTCGCTTGTTGAGAGCTGTGGTTTGCTCAATTAGAGATTCTGCTGCATCGTCGTGATCTCTCAGTCTTTCAACAAGGGCTTTAGCATCAGCAAGTGCCTTCTCAATTGTGCAACTCATTTCTAAATATCTATAATTAAAATTAAAATCAAAACTCAAAATCAGCATATCACCTTATTTTAGTTTCATGTTAATATAGATATGCTTTAACCACATTTGTTATAGAATTGTTCATTGTCTAGGTAGAAAAATCATCTAAGAACATCTTAGGTTTTGCTGTTAGACTGGCACAAACTTAAAGGTGAATTTATAATATAAAAAAACTAGAACACATATAAAAGATTTGCAGAAGCTGGGCTTGGTGGCTCAGCCTGTAATCCTGTGCCTTTGGGAGGCTGAGGTGAGTGGATTGCCTGAGCCCGCGGGTTTGAGACCTGCCT